CAACCCAGTAACTTAATAGATGATACCTTTCCTCTGGTACCCCAAATAACCTATATTCACATTTGATTGTAAAGTCTTCTAAATACAGATAAACTATTTTTTGCTTTGTTTAAGTACAAGTTTATACCCATCATTAATTAGATATCTGTTATGAACAAAATTTTAGGAATAAAATGCTAATAAAATAAGTTAAATAAATAAATATTATATACGGGACATTACATCTACTAAAATAGTCTAAGGAATGGATAACAAGCAATGTGAACCTGTTTACTGAATATAGCAAAGACCTGAAGGTCAGGCATAAATGAGAAAGAAAACCATAAAAAAAATCCAAATAATTGGCTTAAAAATTATATGAGTAAAAAGTTGATTGAATGGATATAGTTTTCAAAATTCTCCCCTTTAAAAATTATTCTTTTTTTTGCATATTACAAGTGCCATTTTATCCTAGGACTTTTCCATCTCTTTTTGTTCTTCCTCCTCTGCATGATTGTCAGGGTAACATCACCTGCATTGTCAATGATGCTATAAATTTTTTTGTAATCTGCTGAGACACAGTAGCTACTGGCATACCTAGACACCCGTCATGAGTTGTGGCTAATGTCACTGAGGAATTGAAACTCTAATTGAAATTCTAATTTAATCAAAATTAATTTTTAGTTTAAATTGATTTGTGAGTAGTGGACACTATATATATATATATTCTACAGTGCATTGTAGGCCAGGATTTCCCAAGGAAACTCATATGTGTCCTGCTACCTCCTGAACACATCTGCCTGGATGTACCATAGCATGCCAAATATCCACATGTCCAATGTCAAAGTCATCACTTTCTCCAAACCAATTCCTGATTTAGTTAATAATTAACCAATAATATCAACTTGGCTTAAGACAGAACTATTAAAATTACTCTTGACTCCTTACTCTTCTTTGTGTTTCATATATTATGCAACATATTATTTGATTTTAAAATTGTCTCACAAACCTGTCATTTTTTTTTTCTAAAATGCACATCATTATTTTCACACACTATCACCAACAGCCCAATCTTTAAATCACTCTCAGGGGAAGCTCAATGACATTAAGACAAAGTTTAAAACTACTAAATTTCTCAAATGTCACTTCTCTGGTGAATTCTTCAAATCTTCTAATAGTAATCTCAGGTTCCATCTTCTTCCTTCCATCCTTTCCTCACAGATTACATAAATCATTCTATCCTTAGTCTTTTCTTTCCCCTTCCATATTTTGACCACATTACGATCACCTCCTATAACACACTATGAAATAATTTACTTGCCTTACTAATTCCCTGGGACCAATTCCTGTGTACTAATTGTTTTGGAATATCAAGTGTTTTTGCTCCCTGTGTCATTTACAGTAGACTACTAGAATGCTTAGATAACTAATAACAGCTTACGAGTGAAATGCTGAAGATTTGAAAACATAGCTAGAAAATTCCTAGGTGTAAAAGGAGAGTGTAAATAAGTCTATTTCAAAACATGAATCCATGTTGGTTTTTATTCAGTTATTGAAAGATTAAGCAGCTAAGATTTATACTGGTATTTAATTTCATGTTTGGCTTCTGTGATAATTTTAAAAATAAATACTACCTTGAAGGTAATTATAGAGGATAAGAAAAACAGCCTCAACATTGATGCAGCATGGGTCGCCCTTCAGCAACTGTATATGGACCCACCTGACAGTCACTGAAGCCATGATGGATTACACCTTTTGGCATCAATATTGAGCTTCATGCATTATTTTCTTAGGTTCCATGCTTTACATCAAAAAGACAAATGCCAAGACAAATTCAAACTTCATAAAAACAACAACAACAACAACACTACAGGACATTGAATACCCACCTTCAAGGACTCACAACTCACATACTATATGACATTTATTTTAAAATATTATTTAAATTCAGTACAGCACAAATAATACATTCTTAACTTATATGCAGAAATTATTTATATTCACATAAAAGCATATATAATGTAAGAGAAAGTCTAGAATGCAAATTGTTACTCACTTGGAAAGGATACAAGATGATATCACTATTATCACTGATGATACTAAATGCATGTATTTATTATGTTATTTACAGATGACTAAGAATATGTGACTTACAATGTTATGTCAAATATAAACTTTTATTGGAAGAAACAAGGAATATGTCTCTAATATTTCACTTACTCTAGCTTCTTGAAAATKTTTTAATATTTATTAATATTATACTACTGGTTATTCCTTAGTACTAAATATTAATATTTAGTACTAAATATGTGTCACAATTTTACCAAATATTTCTTATATTTCATATCAGTTTGGCATAATTGATAGACAAGAATTGATCCTAGTGTGTCTTTTAATATAGGTCAAATGTTGTTTTTATCATATTGTGCTATTATGTGGAACAGGAATGTCATAAACATGTGGCATGCTGTGAAAACACCACCATTACCCCTAGTGAAATGAGACATTCTAAAGACTTCAATTCTTCACAAGTCCATTTGGGTCACTTCCTGTATTCTCAGCATTGAATTAATTACTTTAGCTCTCTGTTTTCGTACTTTGGAGATAAATACATACATATTTTCACATCTTTGAGAGAAAGCAAGAAAGCATGAAATAGACAGATTTTTGCCTTAAAGTAAAAACAAAATTCAGAAAATGCAGGTAACAATCTATTTAAAGATTTTAGCCCTAGAATTTTTTAATGTTAATAATGGTACTGAATCACACACATGCAACATTTCTAGAGAAAACACAATAAATAGTGTCTTCTGACTTCAGAGATTGCAAGTGAGGAAGAACACTGGGAGTATATGACTTATTGGTGTAAAAATAACATTGTACTAAGTAAGATGGGAATTTGGTAGCTAAAACAGAACTAAAATCCAAGCTCCATATTTTCTCATCATGCATTTTGTTCAATTATTCTATACTTAATAGGTGCTTTTATTTTGTTGTTGTTCCAAAAAATTCACATTGAAATAAATTCAGACACTATTAAACAGTTCTTTGTACAGGTCCTCAGTTCTGTTATTTGTAAAATGATTAAACTGTAAAGATCCTTTTCTTCCCTTTGTCCATGTCTACAACATCAATGAAAGTATCCACTATAATTGGGAAGAGAAAATTAATACTGGATAATACATGTGGTCATAAAAAAAATCCTAGAACTCTTGTTTCTGCCTTTAAATGGGTTCTATTTTTTTCACAGACATGGATTTTTCACAATATTCATTTAGTGGTTTAATGAAATATCCATTTACATATCAAATATATTTGAAAATATATAAAAACATTTATACCTTCTCGTTTAATAATCTCTTATCTTCTGTCTAGTTCACATTAAATACTGACCTCTTAAAAATGTCCAGGCTCCCCTTCTCCCTTCCTAACCCATGCCTATTTCTCAACATGTTCTCAGCACTGTTCTTCTTAAATACAGCTAAGATCTGAGAATTAGCATGTGTGTGCATACCTCTATAATAAAAGAGCCAACATTTTCTTTGCTAACAATATTCTCATCTCATTATATATCTGATGTTAATATGGTCTCAAGTCACCCCTACCACCAAAATCCTTGATATTTCTGATCATCAGAAAAACAAGGAAAATGGAGAAAATATCATTATTCCATTACCTTTAAATCTTCAAATTATTTGCTTAAAAATAAGTAAAAACATATATTCTAAGTAGCCAGAATATTTGAAAATATACATTTATTTATCATAAAGTATATGCATATGTTCACCCAAATATATGTATATATTAGTTCAAATATATATACATATTTATATTTATTTATACTTGTGTGAAATAATATGTAGGTATATACACGCACATATATAATCAGTAAGTATTAAGATTGCGGATACTAAGGAAGTAGTTAAACTCATTTCTATTCTTCTTATATCCAAATAATAATACAAAATCAAATGATGGAGATATTAAAAAGTAAAATATGGAACTGGGATAGACTAGAAATAAAACTATGATAAACATTTAGCTAAGATCCAGATATTTCAAGCTTAGAACAATTTTAAATAAAATATAACTCACACTTCTCTTATTTTAAAGGCTTAGAAATAAAATAAATTCTAGCTCTTAAACATCAGAGATGGCCTTAGACTCTTGTTTCTCCCCTGAGCTCACTCCATCATCAAAGCTTGGTTCATTTTGCCACACTTCCGTTTTTTGAAGGAGAAAAACAACCTTGTAAAATTTCACTAAGATTTAAAGATGATTAAATCTTTCAAGTAAGCACATATAAATATGGATTATTCTTAAAGTACTGAAATGCCAATATCCTTTATAAAATCTATCCCAAAAGGCAGGTTTTGACAGTTCAGATAAATAATTGGCAAATGTAAAAATGTGCATGATGTCATGTGATGCCAGGAACATTAAATTTATTTATTTCACACTGTAAAACTTCATTTTCCTCACAATAAACTTATGGCTAAGGAAATGCACTAAAGATATAAGTATACCTACCATTGAGTAAAAACAAGTTTTATTTTTAAAGCAGACTAACCTCTTCCTTCAAAAAAAGAATCACTTCTTACTATAACCAGTAAGTACCACAAAGAAGTATCTTGAATATTGAAAGCAACTTTGGACAGAGAAATTCAAAGACCCATTTTGCATTGATGTAAATATCTAAAGTGATGAAGAGCATTAGGAATATAACACAAACCTATCTTCAGATTATAAAGGAAAAGTTAATTGTTATATTAAGGACATATTTTAGTATAAAATACCAGTTATAGATTTGTATGACCTTGAATGAATTTTTTTCTGAATATTTGCTTATTAATTTTACTCCTTAGAAAAGCAATATGATACATTAAAATTCTTTCTAGCATGCTTTACAAATTATTTCTCACGATTATTTTTCTTTTTTGCATCTGCCAACATAAACAATAAAAGTCACAACAAAACCTTTCCAATTCCATTCATGAGTTCATGATGGACTCTTCCCCTACCTTGCTTATGGTTTCATGAAGGTTGAAAAAAGGATCCATTTCTTCAATTTTTGTTGCATGTTTAGGAAAAACAGCCTCAGAGAGAAAACTTGGACCCTGTGGCAAATCAAAAAGGAAACATTTAAAACTCACCATTGATTTTGTTTTTCAAGTGCTTATTGGATTTTCTTTAAAGATTCAAAGTGACTCTAAATTGCTTTAAGGTTCCTGTTGATTATTGAACTTCATTGTACTGATCTAATTATCCATCACTGAATATTTGTAAATTAAAATGAGTAGAATTCTATAAACCTTGACATTGTTTGTATTTACAAAATAATGTTTTCTTAGCAAGAGAGATTAATCTTAACATCTGTCACCCCTTTCCCCTGAAATGCAGATATTTATGTATCTGCTTTGATTACAAAAGACCTATTTGAAATTCTGTTTTAAATTTAGAATTTTCTGTTTTAAGACAGGTGGAACAGAATGGTTTTGACAAATATGATCACCTATAATATCTTAGAAAAAGTGTATATAGTATTTCAAATATTTTCAAATTAACTTCAAAATAATAGGAAGATGAATTTGGGGTAGAAATCCCATATGGTTATTTTTGCTGCCATTAAAATGGTAACACTTAGTGTTATAAGTTTAGTGTTAAGATGATTGAAATGAATCAGACATACTATAATTCATTTTGTGGTTACATGTGTAACCAGGTTTTAGGATGCAAAAATATATGGAATGATGATGATATTACTACCAAAATCAATGCTATTAGATATATCAACAAAATCATCATCCTATAAAATTATTATTATTTACAGTAATAGCTTTTACTTGAAAACCTGAAGGAACTAGTTTATTTGGCTAGAAAATAGAATACATGGGATTTGATAAATGAAGCTAGATAGACAAATAGACTTAGAGACCAATGAATTAATAATCTTTCTGGAGACAATCATGGAGAAGAAAGATTCAAAGCAATCTACAACAACAGTTACAGCAGAGTTACAAATTTAGGCTAAATTTTATTATTCATGGAGCTATCCAGCAGCAGAACAGATTACTTTGGGTTATAACAATCAATGGTGGGGAGTTAGGATTATATAATTGAAGTTAATATAGATGAGGACTGAAATCAACTGAATCCCAAGTTCTTATGTATTAATCAATTCTGTGACAAGATATATGCTTTACTCCCTATTTACAAAAACACTGAAATCAGGCAAAATTAATCTGACTGCTCCAACATATTCCCAATTTTAAATAAAACCATGAATCAACCAATGGTGTTAGTACCTATCAGGATTAACAGTTTAACAAAAACACGTTTCATGTTCCTCTTTTCATTTGCCCACTAATCTAAAAACTGTCAGAACATCAGCTCAGTCCCAACCAGTACTCCACTTTGTAAAGTCTTACCATAAAATTCATATGACCCATGCCTAAAATTTAATAAATAATCTTTCCTAATTTCCTCATTCAGAAAGCCTGCTAAGACACAGTATTATGGGTTGAATTGAATCCATTAAAAATGTACATATTAAAGTCCGACTCAGAACATGACCACACTTAGAAAATAGCTCACTGCAGATGTAACTGTAACCTGTTAAGTTACAGTAGGTCATATAGGAGTGGTAATTGTCCCTGATGCAATATGACTATTGTCTTTTTAAAAAGTGGATATTTGGGGGCAGAATTACACACAGAGAGAATGTAATGTGTACATGAAGTCAGAGACTGGGATCATGTATCTACATGTCAAGGAATACCAAAGGTGTTGCAAGAAAACTCACAGAATCCATGCAGGAGGCAGGGGAACTGGTTCTCTCTCACATCTCTTAGAAGGAATCAACCCTGACAACAGCCACAACAGTAGACAATGAATTTCTATTAATTTACCCTGTTTGTGGAACTTTGTTACAGTAGACCTAGCAAACTACCACGTCACATTCATTCTTCAACAGGCGATAGGCCTAATAAACTTAATTTTGCTTATCAACATATTTTTAGAGATATGCTGGGTAGTCAACCTAAACGTTGGATAAAAGTTTAATTTTTCTACTTCATTAGTTGGGTATCTTATTCTCTAAAGGATAAGTTACCTCATATAAGAAACATGGAAAATATTATATAGTTCAGAAATATGTAAGTTCTTGGGTGCCTGGCCCATGGAAACACCACATTTGTGGCATTGTTGATGTGCTAAAACCCACAGATACCACAATAAGGAAAGGGAGGTGGAGATTGATGGCAATATGAGCATTACTAGCTTGTCAAGGACATTATACAGAGGATTTCTCATTATGGTAGGATGGTTGAATTAGAGGGAATCCATGATCTTATGAGGGACAGTAAGCAACTCATGTTTAATTATATTTATTTTCTAAATGGAGATCATTTTGAAACTAGATTAGTGTATGTATAACATGGATAATCTGTTGCATTCATTTTCACTTTATAATTCATCTTTGATGTCTTTAAAAGTTTGCCACACAAATAGTTTTAAATGAACTTCTTGAAGTGTTTTTATCTTATCAGCTTACTTAAAAAAATAACACTTAATAAATATTGCATAGGTAAAATATCAGCCAGCCTCAAATTGAATGATCCCATAAAGATGTACGCTGGGAATTATAATTACCACCATTTTTATTGAACTTTCAATTATTCAGTGGCAAACCCTATTAATTTAAATTATAAATATGGTCCTTATTCTCTAATGCAGTTCCTTTATTTGTCTTGCTCCTTCATTTATCTTTTAATAGACTACTCTTCTTTGTGTTTACTACCTCACTTATATAATCATTTTAAAAAAAATATTCATTTAACACTTACTATGTGCCAGGGACTGTGCTAAATGCAGTCCATAGTCCTTAATCTTATGATGTTTAATCTACTGAGATCTGTACATAAAAAGATCAAACTTTACTTTGTTCAAAATAATAAGACAAAACCACTACTTCATACACATGTGAAGATAACAATTCTGTTTAATAARTAAGTATTTATATAGCCTTACAAAAATAATGCAATGATTTAAAAGAAGAAAATACACTTTATGAAAATTTTCTACTGCTATTATATTAACTGTACATGATTACTATTTAAATAGTATTTTATATTCACAGAGACAGGGCAGTAAAGCAATATTAACCACTAAGAAAGTGTTTTGTTTAGAATAATTCCTTCATGGACTGAACTTAAGCAATTCTTGAACAAATATAGACTGAATGCCACTTGGAGATCATATTAGGAATACTGCACAAGAATAAATATTGACAATAAAACTTTTTCTGAGATATGGGGTAAAATTCAATTTGCCTCCCATATCCCCTAATCATGTCTCCTTTCTGTAACATTTATCAGTATTTACCAATTCTCTTGCCTGTACTCTATGATTTGACTTTCCTGATTCTTTATTTGCATATTGTTACCTTCCTATAACTAGATTTTCTTTGTTCTTTTGAGTCTTTATRTTGTTCTTAGTATTACTCAATCATTTTGTTTACATAAACTCCCTGGGTGGAACTGTCTGTTTGTCTGGATTCACCTATCAACTTCAAATTGATAACTCCCATATCTTTATCTCTATGCCTGATCCCTGTTCTCAGTTTATCATTTCTGTTTATCCACAAGACCCTTCAAATACATAAATATATAATGTTCTGAACCACGATCATGTGTTCCTTCATTATAGCCTTCATTTCTTATCTTGAATGAGCATACATATTTTTCAAAATATGAAAATCTATATCATTCTTGATTCCAATTTCCTTTACCATCTGAACYATAGAATTACACTATGGTTGAACAATCATTTACAAGTTCTTACCTCTGGTCATAACCCAGTTATATATAACTTATAGCCAACTATGCTTCCTGTTATCTAGATGTGTACCAAATTCATCATTATGTCATTTCACAACCAAGTCCCAACCCTATTTTTCTTCTTTAGACTTTAATCATTTCTTTTTCTCAAAACTCTTTTGTACCATTTTTATATTGTTTCTGCTTCTTCTGCAACAGGGTATTCACCAGCTCTACCCACACTTTTAATATCTCTGCTTTTTTATTTATGCTATTTCTTATTCTGCCTAGAATAGTCTTTCATCTCTCATCTGTTATCAGACTTCGCCAGATTTTTTTCCCTGATCCTCAAGATCAAGCAAACAAACAAACAAAAAACCCATACAAAATTATTCTGTAAGGAAGAAGAAGTGACTCTAATGGTGAATGTGTTTGATATTTACCATTCTGATCAAGAATTACTTTTCTATGTAACCAAGAATTATAGTTGGTTAAAAAATTTCAATAACTAAAAATAAACCTCTACATATTGCATTCTATGTGAAATTTTGCTTTTTAATTGTGGCAGGTGACAGGAATTAGGGGTAAAGTATTTGTTGAGTGAAACAGTGATTTTTTTTTTTCAGGTTGCATTGACAATAGCATATACCAATGCATATGTGGTGGATAAATTTAAGATATATGCTGGGAAAAAAATTTAGAAAGAAGGATATTGCATTAATATAGTGAGAAAGAACAGGAGACTAAAACCAAAGAGTGATGTTAGAGAAAGAGATGAGGAGATGGGTTTGGTAAATGTTTAATAACTGAAATTAGCAATATTGGCAAATAATTGGATGCAGAAATCTTAAAAATAAGTCGGAATTTCAAGTGTTTCTAGATTTGATAGTTTGAGTAGTTAGAAATTTGTTTATTTAGAAATTATAGAAATACATGAGGGGTTGGGGTAGAAAAGTCATCTAATTTTAAACATTGAAGGTTAGATGTTTGTGAGATATTCCAAAGAAGTCATCTAAATGTGAATAACGATATTGGTCTGAAGTTCAGACCAAATTCTGGATTTGAGACATAAAGATAACTTTAGAAATATGTACATGGTAGCTAAAATGTAACAGCGTAGAACACGTTTTGAGTAATTAGAAAAAATACTCTGAATAACACCAATGTTTAAGAGGTATGAGGATAAAGTATAATTTGTTGAAAATATTATGGATGAACTCATCAGAGAAGTGTATAGAGAACATGCATATTTGATGTCATGGATGGTAGACAAGTAGATAATGTCTCTGAATGAAAAACTG